GATAGCCTTCTGGATGCGGTTGGCGTGGTCGTGGAGACCCATGTGCTGCAGCATCATGATACTGCTAAGAAGCATAGCAGTGGGGTTGGCGAGACCCTTGCCGGCGATATCGGGGGCGGAGCCGTGGACGGCCTCGAAGATGGAGCACTCGTCACCAATGTTACCGGAGGGGGTGAGACCGAGACCACCGATCAGACCGGCGCACATATCGGACAGAATGTCACCGTACAGGTTGGGCATAACGAGGACCTTGTCGTTGTAGGGGGTGGGGTCGGTGACGATACGCAGGCATGAGTTGTCCAGCAGCTCAGCGTCGAACTCGATATCGGGGAATTCCTTGGCGATCTCGCGGGCGGTGTTGAGGAACAGACCGTCGGACATCTTCATGATGGTGGCCTTGTGGACAACGCGGACCTTCTTCTTGTTGATGGACTGCGCGTACTGGAAGGCGAAACGGAGGACACGCTCGGAAGCCTCGCGGGTGATGAGCTTGATGCTCTGTACGACACCGTCAACGACAACGTGCTCAATGCCGGAGTATTCACCCTCGGTGTTCTCGCGGATGAGAACAGTGTCGACGTTGTCGTAGGGGGTCTTGTAGCCAGCAATGGAGCGGCAAGGACGCAGGTTGGCGAACAGGTTGAAAGTACGACGGAGAGTCAGGTTCAGGGAGACGTGACCCTTGCCAACGGGGGTCTGGAAAATCGAAGTTTAGTATCGCAGTCCAGATACCAGAAATCCATGGGCAATTTGAAGCTGGAACGTACAGCGAGAGGACCCTTCAGGGCGACGAAGTTGCGGCGCACACTGGCAATAGCATCATCGGGAATGGCGGTCTTGCCATCCTTCAGGATGGGGGTGACATCAACGGACTCCCACTTGATGGGGGCCTATTATTGACTTAGTATTTTGATCGCGTTGAAGAGTTAGCATGTTGGAAGAAATCATACCTTAGCGGCCTCGAAGATATCCTTGATGGACTGAGAGATCTCAGGACCAATACCGTCACCCTCAATCAGAGTAACAGTGTACTTGCCCTATTTTAACAAAGCAGATCAATTAGCATTGTCGGAATTATACACGGGGTGGTGTTTTAGCGATTTATGGTTGATGTGCGCTGGCGCGGCTGGCGCCGGCATAGATGAAAAAACGGGTTCGGTGGGAGAAAAACGTACATCAGCACCCTTCTGACCCTTGAACTTGGCAACAGCCTCCTGCGCAGGGCTGGCATAGAAGCGAACCTATTTAAAAAGGTCGAAAATTAGTCAATTGAGCTTTGATTGTCAACGACTTTGTTGTCCTTGAGGGGGTTGTGTACCTGCGCGATAGGAGCAGCAAATCGGGGGGCCACGCGGGACGGGCGCATGCACTGGCGAGCAACAGAGAAGTTCCGGGCAGCAATCATCTTGAAAGATCCCTTCAATTACTTTGGGGAAGATAATAAGTGGTGAGGGGGTAAAAGGGAAGAAGGAGAGAGGAAGAAAGAATCAAATCTCTCGGCGCCGCACCGATCCGACCGGGACTCAGACCGCATTGGTTTCATTTCCCCCACGGCCCGAGTCCACTCTTTTAGGTGTCCACTCTTGACGACACATGACTACAAGCTCAGCATTTGATTAGGGTTCTGTTATCAGATCTTGATCCCCTGCAGAAAGATCCCTGATTCTATCTTATATTTCAATTCATCCTGGCCCCTACGTACCATCATGGCTGACCTCGACGTCGCAAGCCATTACAACCTACCCTCCAAGTTCCCTGAGGAATGGCCAGCATCTTTAGACGTGGCTGATGAGCCAGAAGAACAGCAAGTTCAGCGAGCAGACTCCCGACCACGCAAGTCCCGATACATAGCTCTTGAGCGCAGTACCAGTGATTGGAGAGGCAACTTTGGTTCACGGAGAGGGAAGGAGGGCAGGGAAAATGCGCGGGAAGACGAACCCGATCCATTGGGTACAAGCGATAGCGTTCTCCGGATCCTCAAGCAGCGAGGAGTGCCCTTAGAGGAAGATGGCAAATCACGATTCCTGCTGTCATCGACATCATTCTCGCCCGCACTATTCCTATCACAGGCGCATCATTCAGACTCTATTGAAACGCTGACGGGCGGGCTGGATAACCTGTCGCATTCCATCGACCAGAAGTCGGCGTCGCTGAAAGTACTGGTGGAAGCCAATTTTGAGCGTTTCGTCCGTGCCAAGGCAACTATCGATAGCGTCTATACCGAGATGAGGAACCAGGGCGTTGAGAAACAACCAGCACCGGGTCTGAGTCCCCGCAGGTCAGGACATTTCCGGAGCTATTCGGGTCAGCAACGGAGTGTATCTCCCGCTCCGATAGTTCCCAAAAAGACTGCTCTTGTCAAGGAAAGTGAGTTCGGCATGAAAGGTATTAGAGGTCCTTTGGTTGAGGCTTCTGTCAAGGCCGAAGAGGTGTGGGGACCGGCTCTTGGAGGACGGGAGCGAGAGAAGGTACTGAAGTCGGTGGTGGAGACTATGGAGAAACACCGCGATGTCTATGAAATTGGGAGCCTCTTGTCCAAGTCCATTCAGCAACGTGACTATGATGCTGTCTTCGAGCAGTATACCAAAGCAAGGACACTCGCCAATCGAGCAAAAGATCTCGCAGAGCAGGCATCTTTCAGTCCCCGCCGGCAACTAAACGACTCTGAGACACACACAATTCTAGCCATGGGTCGGATGTGGATGGACGTTGACCAACAAATTCAAGACTTTAAGCGCGATCTCTGGAGACGTCTTGCCGACGCTCCCACCACGTCAACTACAAGCACCGCCTTGGGACCCGTGGAAGAACACATGGAGTTGATCGGGGCATTGTTGGAATTGGGTGTCGATGACAATCCTATCTGGAAATGGCTTCAGAGTCGTTATGAATTCCTGAGAACAAAGATCACCGGATTCTGTGACCGATGCAAGGTCGAAATTGAAATTTTAAGAAGAAGGCTTGCTTGTGGAGAGAGACCAACGCCACAGGCTACAGCATCCTATCTCCGTCTGGCACCTCGTGATGGTGCGGTCGAAATTCCAGGACGACTAGACACGGATCAAGTCATTGAATTGTGGGAATGCATACAAACGTTCCTAACCCGGCTTCTGTCCTCACAAAGTGGCTTGTTGGGCGAGGTGTTAGATTTCTGGGAAGTCGCACAATCATTCATTGATGGCAGTCGACAACGGATTTTGCCTGCCGGGTTTGAAGGGGAGAGTCGCAAGCATCACCATCTTTCCGACAACAATATTCAGGAGTTGGAGAAGGGTATTGACGTGTTGGTCAATATTATTCGAGAGAACGTCGTGGCCCTCTTCACGGAACCCCCAACCGAAGATATCTCCCTACTCTTCTCGCCAATTCCGGCAAGTCCATCAACCCCAGAGTCGAGGGGTATTACTCCGACAGAGTCTCGCTTCAAGCTGGATCCAAGGAACCTACCATATCCTCCCCCAAAGCTTGGAGAGCACTGGGAGGCTTTCGCATTCTGGCCACCATTTTCCAATTCTCTCAGTGGAGTGTACTATCTGAGTAAATTCCTCATCATAGTAGGCACCGCGGCGAGCGAAATGGCAGCCCTACAGCCGATTGGCGGAGCTGGAAAAACATATGACCTCCTGAAGACCCTAGTCAGCATTTCCCGGGAACGATGTGCACGTGTGGCGTGTGCTGCCTGGAGTAAAGATGCGGAGATATGCAAAATGTTGGAAGATTGGACACGCGATTCAGAGAGGCGTGATTTGACTAAGATGCCCGGGTTCTTCGTGGCTTACGAGAGTGCTATCCTTGGGGGCATGCAAAAGATCCTTTACATCTCGGAAGCTATGGCAAAGCCAGGCTCCGTGGATGTTGTCACTCAGCCACCTGCTAAACTACTTCAAATGGTCCGCACTCAGTTCGTATCGAGTGTTTACAAAGCGTTAAGCGGTCTGGTCGAAAACGCAGAGCGCCTGACAACAGTAGATGAAGAAAATGAATGGATCATTGCTCGGCCAGCAATGACAAGTCAAGCGACTGACGCTGGTTTGTCAGTTTTCTCGGCTGATTCGGTCGATTCTTGGAATCGGGTAAGTGTCAGTCCAGTTCGATGTGATACCTGCGTAACTAACCACAACACAGAATGTCCGAATCCTTCTCACACTTTCAAATCTCAAAGCTCTACAGGCCGACCATGTCCCACAGCTTATCTCGAACTTTGAGACGTCCTTCTCAGTCAAGCTGTCGGAAGAGGCCAAGACCGTCCGGGACGTGCTTAGCCAGATTGAAGACAGGCTATTCCAATCATATATCACCCCAACTACTGTCCTATTACACAAAACGATCACCGCTGGCATTGCCTCTCCAGATTGGGAGCCGTCTGTTGACAGGCCGGAGCAAGTTCGCCCATATGTCTACAACACCATGTTGACCATGGTGCTGGTCCACACAGAGATCTCCACAACTATTCCGTCTACTGTGTCGGCAGGTGCTAGTCGCGCTGCGTCAAGTTCACCTTCCTCGCTGCTGTCTACTGTGTTGACACATCTCCTTTCTCAAATTTCTTCGTCACTGCTTGATGCCTTCCGTTCTCGGTCCTCCTTCTCACTCCCAGCTTTGATGCAAGCTACCCTGGACACAGAGTTCATTGCACAGACTCTTACCTCGTACATAACCGAGGAAGCATCAAATGTGCAAAGCCAGATCTACGTCGAGCTAGATTGTCGTACCACAAACGAAGCTCGCACCAAACTGAAGGCCGAACTAGGAGAAATGCGTGTTATCCTGAAACGGCTCAGAGATCGGACGAAGGGCGAGTTTGCTTGTTTCAAAAAGCCGAGAAATGGGGTGCAAATGGTGGAGTGAATAATAAGTCTTCCGCTGCGGCCGCGACATAGGTTTAGCAAGATAGTGCCATTAAAGAACCAAGAATCGTAATATTGAATGCTTTGAAATTTTTTTTCATAACCGGGTATCATGAAAACATAGTCCACACCATGTGTAGTTCTTGCCTTTCTCTAATTCTTACCAACCATCCGCTGCACGCGACTAAGGAGGGCGTTGCTCTCTCTGCCTAATCGCCTCTTGCCAAACTGGTCCGGCCGCTTCGCGCGCAGCAGTTTCTCACGCTCATTTTGTTTCGCCTCACGCTCCTTCTGTCGTGCTTCCTCCGCCTTCCTCCGCTTCTCTGCAAACTCCATCTCCTTTGTGAAAGCAGAAGGCTTTGGTCTGCGCTCCCTCTGTTTGCCATCACCTCGTGGACGTCGTTCTGGTCTAGGTGCAGGTGCTGGGGCCTCAGGCTCGTTCAACATGGCTATGCGATCCGGGTGGAGTTCCGGAGTCTTTGCCTCTTCGACAGTCTTTTCCTCATCCTTGCCAGTGTGGGTTTCATCTGCCTCGGCGGTATCGTACACGGATTTCCTAGGCGCGATGGCGAGTTCTTCGGCTTTGATCTTGGCATATGCCTTCTTCACTTTGGCTTTGTGAATCAGGTCATTCTTGATCTTTTGGGCTGTTGTTAATTATTTGATTAGTCTCGTTTAAATTCGAGGAATTGCTTTTGGGCATGCTCACTCTTGCGACGATATGTGCCATCTGGGAGGTTTGCGGGTCCAACGCTAAAACCCTTGCGCTTCTTGACCTCGGGCTCGCCCTTTGACGATGGAGCAGCATCGCCATCGCGGGTACGTTTTGGTGCCATGTTGATATTCAAACAAAACAAGTGTGTTTTGTTCCTGTGTGTTGAAATCGAAAGACTTTCGGAGAAGAAAAAAAAAAGTGGCGATCTCCGCACGGAACATCGGTCTCGGCCACTAGCAGATAAGTATGAACTTTTTTGAACAGTATACTACGTTTTTATTTTCTCAATTTTAGTACTAAAAGAACGAGGTAGAGAATTCACTGTATCATTTACAATATCTATCATGTCTACAATATATGCGATATATGTGACACTATTGACTCATTCTATTGTCATTCCAGCCGGCATATTATGTGCCTTTCTTTTCGCCATTTCTTCCCAACATCTCTTCATTTTTTAGGCATCGGGCCTTGATATTATTGTGACCCAAAGAATTCAAATATAGAACAATATAGGGCTATCTCGTCACCTAACGGTGCAACACAACGTCACTGGTCCATCACATGACGTTCTCAGTCCGGATCTCCGAGATCGACGGGTGTCCACCTCCCAAATGCTCAATACTCTCTCTTCCCTATTCAACATTTCGAGGCAAACTGGGCATTCATACCTTAAGAAAGCTAAAGCCAGGCCCATGGAGTGACAAGCTATCTTCTATACAAGCGCTGCCTTCCTCGCCAATCAGTAGAACTATTGACGGCATATACTCGAGTCATCCTGGTACATCGCATCAAACTCTCTCCCCCCCACAGCGGCACAGCTTGGCTCTGGTTTCAAAAGGTGCTACGTGGGTGGCCTCCTGAAATGTCATATTTAGCGTCTCAGGTCTTGTAGTCTGCCCTTATCACGCCACCATGCCCCTATTTCGAGATCCGGATCGGCGGCGTCATTATCTATGGTCACCCGACCATGACCATAAACAGCCAACCACAGGGTCCTCGGAGCCCCAGCTAAATGGTCTCAATCACCGTGAGATAGCTGCTCCAGAAATGGCGACCAACGCTATGCATCCGACGGCGTTGAATCCGCCCAAAGTGTGGGCAAATGATCGGGAGGAGCTCATACATCGTATTAAAGAATCTTCGCCTTGGAGACTTCAACACATGGTATGTGAATCTTTTCGTGGATATCTAACTCTTTTTCAAACCTCTACTTGATGTGATGTCCGGTCTCTTTAATCCGGTTTTGTTCTCTTTCTCTTTTCTTTCATAGTCCAACACATCTCGTCAAGTATACATAAGCTAACGTGCCAATAGTCCCCAGATAGGGAGAAAAATGATTTATTTGCTTCTCGAATCTCACGGGAGCAGTCACAAACAGCAGTAAGAGAGCATGAAGACCGCTCTCTTAACCAAGGACATCACATCAACGCGACAGAGGAACTGGGATCGCCGGCCGATATCCAGAGACCTCGATCAGCGTTACACTCGGGTGACTTCAATGAAAGAACCACAGATCCCCATAACTCACACTCTCCTCGATCTCCTTTGAAGGGGCAGAGTTCGGGCTCTCCATTTGCTGATTTAGGATCTTCCCCCACGACTCCTTGGTTCGGAGTACCGGCCTTGCCACCCGATTTGCGAAAGACAAGCACATCAAATGAGCATCATCATCAATCCAATATTATCGTGAATGCTCGTGCTCGTGCACCGTCTGTGGGCTCATTCTCATCGAGTTATGTTCTGAAAGCTCCTACCAGTCCTCTGGTATATCAAGCAAATAACACCGACTTGGACTTTTCGTCCGATGTTGACCATGTGGACGTCTTGGGGCCTTTGGAGAGAACAAACCGTCGCCGTACTTTGCCGCCAGACACTTTTGGGAATCTACAATTTTCGCCAAGCGATGAAACTTCCCACCTGAGTAGTCCATCTCTAGGACGGCAGCAAGACATCTTTACCAATCAAACGCCTTTGCCTCGCCGGTCATTGACTTCAGCATATAGTCTTCAACTCGCACCGTCCCCAGGGGGGCAGATCCCACCATCACGAGTAAGAAGGCCGTCTTTCGTCTCTGACATCTCGTCAAAATCCCACGCGCCGATGGTGGGGTCTTATGAGGAGTCGATATTGTGCGGGAGAATGTCAATGAACCCTTCTAAGCCGCTGGATTTCATGGCTCAGATCGGCGTCCTAGGCAAGGGAAAATGCAAAGGCCATCTCAAATGTCCGCCACATATCACAGTCCCATTTCCGGCTGTTTTCTACAGCTATCCGACCTCGGGGTGCGGCCGCTCAATCTCAGACGACAACCCGAGTCCCTATGTGGGAACAATTGACCTAGAAAATGCTCTCCCGAAAGAGAATCCTAATCCGACTCGACGTCGCAGACGACATCCAAGTTCTACGGGACCTCATGAAGACATTTCCGCCACAGAAGGACCAAACGATATTTGCACGCCTGGTGGTGAATCACGACGCCTCCGGGGAAAGAAGATTCGCAGGTCAGAATCGCCTAAATGTCCCCCAGGGGGGTCTTACCGGATTCCACAACAAGGCCAACTACAAATCATAATCAAGAACCCGCACAAGACTGCGGTCAAGCTTTTCCTAGTTCCATATGACCTCGCTGATATGGAACCTGGTACAAAGACCTTCATTCGGCAACGCAGCTATTCGGCAGGTCCGATCATCGATATGCCGCTCAGTGCACGGAAGAATTATGGGACAGATCGCCCGGAAGCTTCCTTGAATCCCACACAAGATCCTCAGGACAAACCCACTTTGCGATACCTCATTCATCTGCACATCTGCTGTCCCGCGCGCGGTCGCTTTTATCTACATCCGTCTATTCGCGTGGTGTTCGCAAACCGGGTCCCGGACGGCAAGGAGAAACTACAGAACGAGATACAAATTCCCGAGCCGAGATACACTCCGTACAAGCCCGCTTCCATCTCAAGTACTGCGAGCGCAAATACGAGCCTGGGAATTGAACAAACTTCCCGCGGACTAAGTGTGGACCAAGGAGTGATCCCTCACCTCCATCCAAATATATCGTCTCCCAGCCAGTTCCCCTCGCAACTAGACGTGCGAGGTCCCTTGGATGTTGCAGGTGACCCTGAAAATACACCTCCCTCGCATAGTGTGTCTCGGCACAACAAGCTCACCAAGGACAACGAGGATTACGGACGTCATCCGTTTATCTCGAATCCAAGCAGTCCAGAACCTGGCGAAAGCCTACTCGCCAAGAGACTCCGAGGCCTCGATGTGCAAAGACAGGGGACCACAGTAGATGAACAGCATCCACGCAAATTAGGCTTCTATGATCGACCATCTCCCACCCACAACCAACGTCCTCGCTAAACGAACCCAATGCAATACACTCCAACTCCAAGAACCTCCTCCTCGCCATTCAGTATGACAATAGTACCACCTATCTCCCATGTGTATCTTGATCTTCCTTGGCTTGACATTTCCTGTCTACATCACCCTCAAAGAACAGCACATGACAGCATGACAATAGGCGCACTGGTTTGCAGCCAATACTTGTTTATACTAACCCATATAATAGCGCCTAGTATTTTAATGCACCTTGATTCACGCCTAAGCGATGTGTGTATTTCGTTTCGTTGCCAGTTGGACGTCTGGTTGATCTGCTTTCCGTGCTTTGTGGATATATTGGGGAACCTAGGCGCATGGGTCGTTGACTATACCCCCTTTCTATGTTTATTTTTCGTATCTTCTCTTGGCGCGTTGGCTTGATGTTTCACTAAGTTTATTTGTTGGTTATATAGTTCAATGTGGTGGATTTTAAGAGTTGAATATATATATTACACTACGTGAAGTGCGTCGCTGCGCGATTTTGATTTTGTAACTAGAACAACGTACATGAACAGTGAATATATATTTAGAGATTTTCATGTTTAATAAGTAGATTTATAGGAATATATAGGGAGGTATGATTTTATGAAATGTGTAAGAGTAGGAGTTCCTGCAATTTATATCTACAGAGCGCTAGATACAGCAAATAAATTATCACAACATAACAAGTGGAAAATCACCCAAGAATTATGTGATCTCGACCCGGCTGGCATGATTACAATTCCTTCGAGTCTAAGAAAATAAACTTTCCTAGTCCTCTTTAACCAGCGAGTGTAGCTTAACCAGCATGCTCCACGATCTCGCTAACCAGAACGCCGTTCTTGATGTAGCTCTTGAACTGCTCGGGCAGAGGGCACTCCTTGGTATCTTCATCGGTGCCCTCCGGCGGCGGAAGGTTGATGTTAATAGCGGAGCACTTGCTAGTAAAGACCTCAGTGTTAAGGCTCTGCTGGCCAAGGTAAACGGTAGCACCATCAACTTGGTCCATCAGCAGAGTGGGGACCGTACCGTCGATCTGCACAGCGAACTTGGGGCACTTGATGATATCAAGACTGCTGACAAGAGAGTCAACAATGAGAGAGAGGCCAACGCAGTTATCGATGGCAATAGCGTTAGCCTTGTTGGAGACCTTGATGATGGTTTTGTTGCAGCGGGTAATGAGGATGGACTGGTTCTGCTGAGCAGCGATCTCGACGATCTCGCCAGGAGCATCAAAGTTCTCAATGAGCCACTTGCTGCCCTCGAGTTCCTTGCGAGGCGGCTTGCGCGCGCGCATGTTTTCGGGCTTGGGCTTCTTGCTAGGTGCTGGTGACTTGCCCCGCACGGCGCTGGAGCCTTCAGACTCCGAGACGGTTGATCCGGCACGCAGGCTGGGGTTCTTGTGCGTCATCTGCGATTTATCGACCTTGCGAAGGCTGGATGTGATACCCTCGCCCTGGTTGAGCTGGTCGAAGACAGCGCCCATGTCTGCTGCTGGTGCTTGGGCGGCCGGGGCGGGGGGAATACCAGGAGGCGGAGGTGGGGGAGGGACACCGCCACCGGGGACGTTGAGGGATGGGACCGGGGGAGGAGGAGGGGGAGGGGGAGGAGGGGCACCGCCGCTGACAGGAGTAGGTCCGCCCTTGGCCTGCTTCAAAGCTTCCAAGGCATCAATGCCAGATGCATTGTTCCATGTGAGACCTTGGGGGAAGTGTTTCTTGAGGTACTCTGCAAGAGCCTTGAAATTTTGATAGTAGGCCT